TTCCCCTTCACTTTGTGCCATTTTTATAGGTTCTCACACATGATTAGAATGTGTTTTATCATCTTAAAACACTCCACTTAATCCATTAAGTGCTCACTAAAACCAATAAGGATATGATGATTCTTAAGCTTAAAGGAAGGTTTATCTAGGCTAGTTTCTAATTGCACATTCCAATGTTCCCAAAGCTTGTTGAACATCCAAAGGAATGTTGTTAAGTACATGAAACCATAACCAAACTCATTGTAAATATCTAATTTGACTATGGAATCCTCAATTCCATTCCTTGTTCCTAAGTTGGCCATTCGGGCCAAAACAATCACTAGAGTTATTACCTTACTAAAATCCCTTCATGTTTTTGTTCCAATATCATCTATAGAGTGTCAACTCATGTTCATGAATGTCATTCACTTCTAATTTGTCAATCATCACATAGTTATGCATAGATTTCCTAAAATACACTTATGGCCAAATATTCCATAAATTCAACTAAGCATCATTTAAGTCCTCACGTTTTTGCATTCAAATCATGTTGTTAGTATCACATCATGTTTATGAGCATTATATAATCATCAAATGCTCACATACCAAGAATTCCATTGTTTTCATTCCAATTTCCCCAAAAATCAATACAATTCCATGCTTATACTTGATTCTACCATCATGGATGTGTTTGAGCTTTCCAATTGGGTTCATTGTTATCAAACATCAACTAGGTCATTGAATCCATAATAATTTCACCATCTATTGCAATATCCCTAATTTGGGTTTTCTAAGGTTCATGGGGGTTTTCACCCCAATCATCCATAACCATCAATGGAATGATTGGTTTGAGATTAGAACCATGGAAACTACTCAACGTGGGTTAGAAAACCAAACCCTAACCATTCAATCACATAAAAATCAACATTGGGGGTTAACCCACTTCATAAATTCGAATTTCTAGGTTGAAGGAGAGGAGAATCTACCTTACAAGCCTTTGTGCTTCCTTTTCTTGCTTGGATGCTCAGTTCCCCACTTGAATCGAACTCTAGATGATGTAGAAGAGTGACATCGCCATTTCCTCCTTGTTTTTCCTCTCCAATAAATCCCAGTTCTAAAATGAGAATATGTTGTGCTCTTATTTTCCGATTTGACAAATCCTACCCTCTACTTTCACATTTTTGTCAAAAATGGTACACTCTTCCAATATGTAAGGCTTTTTCTTTGAGAATAAACATCTTGAGTACCCCTCCATACCTTATTTAACTTTTTTAGTCCCTTCCATTAATTCAACGAACCCTTTGGTTAACTCACTTTGCCAATTTGACACTTTTGTCCCTTTAACTTTTAAAAATGTTATTATTTTCTCTTCTGACTTTCTAAACTTGACATCAACTAATGATATGATTATCGCTCAATGATTTAATTAAATAAATCATTTTTCATTTATTACTTTATTAATTTAAGAACATAGTCATAAATTTTAGGATGTTAAATGCCATATGTCATTTGAAGTATTTTTTGGGGATAAAAGTCTCTCACACCCGGAAAGGAATTTGTCTATCTTAACAAAAATATTGTTTAGACATATTTAGTGACTCAGACTTTATTAATGCAAGACCTTGTTATTTTCCTATGATACCAAATGTGAAATTGAAAGCAAAAGATGGAGACCCAATTGATATTCCTGGAAAATATGTAAGAATTATTGGGAAGTTAAATTATCTTACGATTACTCGGTCGAACGTTGATTTTTCAGTAAGAGTTGTGCGCCATTTTATATCATCACTAATTGATGCATATTGAAATGTTGTCACTCATATCTTAAAGTATCTCCATGACACAATATTTTGTATCAGAATCATGGTCATCATATAATAGAAGGGTTTACACATTACTAGAGAAAAGGCCTTTTATGACACACATTACATGTCAATAAAGGGTACAGATGACTCACAAATGTGTGTCATTAAAGCCCTTGTCATAAAGAAAGACGACATGCATTTGTATGTCATAAGCTTACAACACGCATTTACAACATACATTGCATGTCTTTAAAGCCCTTGGAAGACGGTACATAGTTTGCGTGTCATAATTTTACGTGTTTTAAAAAAAATATGGAATTTTCTAATTTTAAAATTAAATGAAAATTAATGTCTCATAATGGAAAATAACATATCATACAAAAAAGACAACACATTTCACAATATATAGTGTGTCAAGTACAAATAATCAATGTTATATAAATGTAATACACTAACTTTTTCATCATATCATATCAATTCCCCTAACAAAACACCATCTCTAATTAAGACTTGTTCAGACCCATTCACTTAACACAAATGCAAAAGTTGCAACACAAGACTCAACTGATCTGCAAAGATCCTCTAGAGGTAATGTGCTAAACTAATTAAAAGCATCTTCTAGTATATGATCAATGTGAATAATTTGAATTTGCTTGTAAATGAAACCAAGAAAGGAGATTGTTTGTGTATGTTTACATTCCCTTTGTGCTTTTAATGGTCGCATGTAGAGGAATCTTGGGACATGTTGGCCATATCAATTACCTATCACATCAATTAGACTCAACAAATTAAGAAGCACATAATCAAACTATGAAGTAACTAATCAAAATGTTTTTGGGTTTTTGGGGAAAGAGAGCTTACTAATCAAAAGGTTAATTACAAGTAATAGAAATGTACTTTCATTGATTTGGTTATTACAACATCCTACTTTCATTTCTTTTAATTTCAGCATTGTGCTTTGAAAAATCCACCCTATTATAGCAATGATGGAAGAGAAAGAAATAAAAGTAGGTTGCTATACTTAATAAATGAATAAAAGTGTGTTTGAATAATAAGGCTGTCATTTATATCACCAACAATCTAGTTTTTCGTGAGAGAATGAAGCGCATAGAAGTGGATTATCATTCCACTCGAGAATAATTAGAAGACGAAACAATTACAACTTCTCATGTCAGGACGGGGAGTCAGCTCGCTGATATGTTCACAAAATCGTTATCTGGAAGTACAATTAATTACTTTTGTAACAAAGTGGGCATGATATATATATATATATATATATATATATATATATATATATATATATATGCTTCGGCTTGAGGGGGAGTGTTAGAATGTATATAAAAGTAGTGTAGGTTTATATTAGTTCTTGATGTACCCTTTTATCTAAGTTCCTTATTATGTAGTTATTTGTACATAAATATAGGCATTTATCTCATTATGTAATGCAAGAAATAATTCCAGAAATATGAGTGTTTACATAAAGTTATTTTTATTTCAAGAGAATTACATTAAAAAGTTATCTCTCAGTTCAGGATGTCATTGGTTGCACTGGTGAATTCACCATCGTTAAGTTTTAGGCTTATATAAATTCTATATGAATTATGTATTTATCAATGGAAGGTTTGTGATATGTCACTAATCTATTTTCTTTTATACATGGACGACATGCTAATGGTAACGAAAACCATATTACAGAGCAAAAGGTTGAAATAACTTAATATTACCGAGTTTGACATGAAGGATTTTAGACCAACTCAAAAAATATTAGAGATGGAGGTTATTAGGGATCGCAAGAAAATGTTATTCAAATGAACTACATCAAGAAGGTTACCTCTCGATTTGGGATGTGATCGACAAAACCAATGAAAACACCTTCATCGATAAGTTTTTGGGTTTCTAAGGCTTGGTTTGCCAAAAGTCTGGAGGAGGTGGACTTTTTGTCTACGTTCCATATTTAAGCATGGTGGGTAGTCTTACAGGATGGTGTGTAAAAGGGAATGATATTGCATATTCGGCGAGTGTGATGTCATGGTGTATGGAGGACCCCAACAAGGAGCATTGGTTAGCGTCGAAGAGGATATTTTGGTACTTGAAAGACACTTCAGACATGGGCCTTGTCTATGTAGGTGTTCATGATTGTGGTTGGGCTGTTACTCTAGTTCAATGTATGTGCATGTCACAGATCTATGCGTGATTAAGTCCTTGGACAATAAGTTGTTCATTTTAGAAGTGAGGTAATAAGTTCGATGCATGCTCTTTAACCTATTGGTGCTTTATTTACTATGGAGGCCGAGTACATGGCCTTGTCAGAGGTGGCAAAAGAAGACCACTTGGTTGAAGGGGTTTGTAAAAGATCTTGGGGTTTGGGAGGATCATTTGTTGGTCTATTGTGACAACTTGAATGTCATATGTTTGCTTTAGGACCAAGTCTTCCATGATCAGATAAAGCACATAGATGTTTTTATAAAATCAGGACACATGATAACTTGGTGGACATCTTAGTCAAAATTGGTCCCTAAATACATAAGTTCTAACATTCCTTGGATTTTGATAACATTGATTGTTGGATACGAATAGACATAGTTCACAAGTCTTGGATGGAGTCGAGTATATTCGATGACATAATAACTCTATATTGTACATTTAGGAAAGTGACATCTAGCTTGACTCTAAGGGCATCCACAATGCATTAAACTCATTAGAGTTTAATGGATTGACATATCATCATTTTATTTTTTTATACAACTCTACAGTAATTATTCTACAATGCATTAAACTCTATAAAGTTTAATGGAATATATTTTTAATAGTTAAAAAGTTTTATTTTTCCCATTGAAGAATTCAATGGTCATTGAACTTCATATCCATTGAATGTCAACATGGCATTCCACAATGGTACAGTTTAATCCATTGAATGTCAATTAGACATGTCACCTCATTCAACTCTCACATTAAACTATGCACTGTGGATGCTCTAATAACACATTAGACTCGACATGGCTACCCCGGTTCAAGAAATAAAGAAATAAAGATAAATGGCGCTTTCATTTTTCGTGTGTGTGTTATTTTCATCTTCTACTATTGCTCTATTCATGTATTCCGCACAACACACATGTACATTTGGGCCCATAATAAAAGACAAATGGATTTACAAGCATCAAACACTAACGTAGACAGTGGGATCCGAATCAGTCGTCAGCGAAATGACACACGATGTTCTCAAACAAAGATTTCATTGGAATCTTCAAGTAAAACATAAATTGGGAAATTTCAAAATTACAAAAAGCGCTTGCTTTTCTCCCCACCCCCCTCTAATCTATTGTACTTGTACATCTATATTATAAAAACCTCCATTATTAATTTTCTTTGTTTTTTTCTCTTCCATTATGCTCTCGATTACTTCATCAATTTGTTACACTTTTGGTGCTTCCACTGCTATCATTGGTGGGGTCGGCATCGGTGCACTGATGGCAATGGCTGGAACAGCAGATATGTGTGTTTCGTTCTTTTGCATCTCGATGTCGTTCGCCTCAACACCATCAATCATCATCATGTTGTTGTTATTATTGTTATTTCCCGAATTGACTTTTACAGGATCGAGGATCTCGTCACTCAATTCTTTGTCCTTGAATTCCTTGTATTTTCCCCATAGAACCGAGTATAGTCCCATCACGATCAGTATCGCACCCATCACACTGCAAATTAAAAAGGGTTCATTTCATCGATCAAGAATTGAATCAATATAATTTGTGTACATGAAGAAGTAGTAGAAAATGAAAGTATTTTATACCCTCCCATGTAGATCTTTTCAGCTAGGATGAAAGAACCCATGATAGCAACAATGATCATCATTAGAGGACTAAAAGCAGTCACGAAAACTGGCCCTCTCTTTTCCATTACTAAACCTTGCACATAGTATGCAATGCTTGACGACACAATTCCCTGTTTAAAATAAACCAGTAAGCAAAAGTCAGAAGAGTGAGAAAGAGCTATAGAAAAAAAAAAGATATAGAGAGAGAAAGAGAGATGCTTACAGCATAGGCAGCAGCAAGAAGGTTCATATCCCAGCCGATAGACCAAACGTTAGGCTTGTGTTCCATTACAAAAGTAACAGCAATGGACTGTAAAGTACCAATAAAGCATACCAAACAGGTGAGAGAGAAAGGCGCTTTGTAAACCCTCATCGTCACATTCTGCATAAACCAATCAAAACCATAATTAATTAAGTACAAACCATTTTGCATGCAAGTATGTATGTAGAACTCGTCTAACAATTTGTATATATGTATTTAATACCTGAAGGATGAAAAAAGAAGCCCATGCAAAGGTAGCAATAATAAGAAGAATGGACCCTTTCACCCAATCTTTATCAGAAGAGTCGGATGATGCAGAGGTTGTCTCGGCATAGTGGGGGTGAACATGCTTCGTCCAAATCAACTCCACAACATTACCCTTGTAAAGTGTCATTAACATAGCCCCTGCTACTGTCACTATGGTTCCTATCACCTTTGCTTGGCATCTAACCTTCTTCATGTCCAATTTCTCCATCCTTTTTTCAAACAATTCAAGTCGTTAGATCAAATATAAGTCAAAATGACAAAAACCCAAGAAAATTCAAACGATTTGCTTTGTTAATGGGTGTATATATATAGATATTATACCTGCAGAGGACAGCCATAACGAAGGTCATTGCTGGAAGCATGTTGCTCATAGCACACGAGAAAGTTGGTGAGGTGAACTTTAACCCCGCGTAGTAGAAGTTCTGGTCGATCACAGGCCTATAAAACCGAAAACATGTTTTAGCTTTCATGTTTTTAGCATTGTGCCAATTTTTAATTAATGAAGTTCAAGAAACTAAAAGTACCCAAGAAGCCCCAAGGCAAACATTTGCATAAAGATGGAGAATGTAATCTTCGGCCTCATATTCCTACAAACCACAAAAGTCGAATACTTTATGATATGATCAAGAAAGATAGAGGTATGTATTATTGAAGGCAATTCTTTCACGTTCATGTAGATTATGAGCGATTGATTGATACCTCTCGAAGATGATGGCAAATGGGGCGATAGCAGCAGTGGCAAATGCATGACGATAAACAACAAGGACATAGTGGCTCATTCCTCGATTCAACGAAACTTTCGTTATGATATTCATACCAGCATATCCGAATTGCAAACAAATCATTGCTATATATGGCTTGGCTGTGAGAAAAAACCTCGCAAAACATCCTAACTTTCCTTCCATTTTATCGTTTCTCGTGACTCGGAGATGAGAGCAGTAAGGTTTTGAAGTTAGAAAACTGCTGTAAAAGAGAGGAAAACACTTGAAGACTGTTGTGTGTCTGTCCTAAGTAAAATGTGTGGAGAAACACATATTTATAGGCAGGGGGGATAGAGAATTATCCGTAGGGTTGAAGAGTGATTGGCACGCGCTCGGCGTGTGCAGTGGGTCTGTATCTCTACTATGAATATTCTTGTTTCGTCTTTGCATGTATGCATAATAATATACATATATCTCCCTCATGCATAAGACAACAATAGTTATGTCTAACGTCGTTGTTATTTTTTTAATTTAATTTTCTTTACTACATTTAGGATAACATATATAGTTGATAAGTAAATATTATCAATATCCGATCGAATAGATATGTTTGTTTGAATTCAAGTCTCAATAAAAAATGAGACATTACAACTTTAAAAAAAAAATCAAATATAAAGCGTTGTATGTTGTTTTATAAAATCGAATAGATATGTTTGTTTGAATTTAAGCCTCTATAATTTTTTTTCCTATAGTTAACGAAATATTTATTATCAACTTAAATTAGATTTATTTTTCCACTGAAACTCTATATCCGTTGAACTAATGTTAAGTTTATTTTATTAAAAGTCAACTAAACATTTCACCTCATTCAATTTTTTTTATAATATTATACATTATAAATGCTAATGACAACCTAAAAACATAAATCTATATATTCATTCAACCATTGTATTCATATTATGGATGATCTCATATATTCATTCAACCGCTATATTAGACTTGAAATTTATATTTGGTCATTTGTTATTGGTATATTATTATCATGTATAAATTACTATAAATAATTTTAATCCATTTAGTGATTAGGATTCAAGTCTTCTGTTCTCATGAATACGACTTCTCAAAAGAATTTGAATATAT